AAAAGCGTTTAAATACCAACCCCCGTCAAGGATACGTGTGTAATATTTTATATGCTAGATGATCGAAAGATAATGTAAAACAAACAAACAAAAATAAAAAAAAAGTAATAAAACCAATAACGATCGATGGATACTATAAAAAAAGAAGTGATCATCGAAAAAGAGGAGGCTCGTTGGTTTTCGTTTTGAAAAGTTCGATGCATGTAGCAAAAATCACCCAACCCGTTGTTACATCCGCACACCGATTTCCGAAATATTTCTGTTTCTCGGTTCTCTACCCTTCAAAAAAAAAAAAAACAAAACAAAAAACACGATATATACATATGTAGAAAAAGAGAAGAGGGTTGAAGGGATTGAAGGGGGTGGTAAGGGTGAAAGGGGGGAAGAAGGAAATATCGACTCGTATCCTTTTCGTCATGAATTTTTTTTTTTTCACGTTTGCTTTTACTATACCAGTTTCATTCTTTTTTCTTCTTCTTTTTTTTTTCATCATTTCTTTTGGTTTAACGTGAAAGCTCTGAAACCTTCGTTGCGTATATAATCAGAGAGAGAAAAGCTTGAGATTTTCTTACGGCTAGCCAGTAAAGTCCTCGATCTTTTAAATCGTCAACTGGGCTGGCTGGCTCTGGCTGACCGGGTTTTAAATCTCATGGACTTTAAATGTTGAATCGATCTCTTAATCGTCCTTTCATCTCACTCTCTCTCTCTCTCTCTCTCTCTCTCTCTCTCTCTCTCTCTCTCTCTCTCTCGTTTTTTTTTATCCAGTTACATAGAAATTCTCTGTAGGTACGTTTATATCGGAAAATTCGTATAATCTGGCGATTAAATATATATGGATATGTGTTAGTAATGAATCGGATATATATATATATATATTTCAATGAAATAATTATTATATGAAGTTATAATGAAATAATAACATAAGAGAGAAAGAGAAAGAGAGAAAGAGATTTATTAACAAAATGGAATAATAGTGTCTAATATTTTTAATAAAAGAAATTAAAAATTAGTATTGTGTGTGAAATGTAATATATGTATAATATGTAATATGTATATATTATATATGTGTGTATATGTATGTGTATATATACATATGTGTATTATGTATGTATATATGTAATATATGTAATATATGTATATATGTATTTAATAAAAAAAATTATTATAGAAATGTGATATACAAATCAGAACAATAAACAATATAAATAAATGAATAATAATAAAAGAAATAATAATAAAAGATAATAATAAAAGAAACAGAGAGAGAGAGAGAGAGAGACAGAGAGAAAGAGAGAGGAAAGAAGAAAATGTATAATAATAAAACAAAAGAGATGTTAACGTAAAAGTACACGAATAAAATGACGATAAACCTATTGTGATAACCCATATATATAAACCACGATAAATATAAAGACACGATTATTGATTAAAGAAAAACAAATAAAATAAAATGTAAAGAGACTTGAATAAAGTTTCACAAAACAAACAAAAAAATAAAATAATAAAAAGAAGAGAAAAAAATAAATATATTAACCCTTTGGGTGCTGAATACTTTTAACTAAAATGTTTTGTAAGAACGGAATAATTTATTAATAATAAATTATATATTTAATAATGAAAGTTTTTCTTTCTGCGAATATAATTTAATTAATTAATATAAACATTACATAATTTTACATTAATATTAACAAACACGTATATGCATCGATATACCACTCTGGTAATTTTTATCAAACGCATATATGCGTTCATAGCATTCTAAGGGTTAAAAAAGATGAAAGTAAAAAAGGTAAACAAGATCAAAAAAAAAAAAAGTAAGTAACAAGAAAGATCGATAACTCTTATCAATAACTCGTCAATGATAATTAAAACTGAGATGAAGTATAGAACGTTTCCGGTAATTTACGTTAACAAAAGAACTGGCCAGCCAAGCCAAGAATGATGTTCTTTCTATGTGTACGAATAGTTGATACGAAAGGGTTACGATATTGGAACTTGAGTTCGAGTTGGTAAAGAAGGAGACGGTGGGTGGATAGGTGGCCTGAGAACAGGGTGAAAAGAGGGTGAGAAGAGAAGGGAGGAGTCAGTACTACTGCTGCTGCTGCTTTGCTGATTCTGGTGCTACTGCTACTGCTACTGGTACTGGTACTGGTTCTGGTACTGGTGCTGCTGTAAAAGCAACGACCGGAGCTGACCTGAATCCACGACTGGGGCGATGAAAAGGGAGCAACAAAAGCGACGAACTGGACGAGGACGAGAGTGAAAATACGGAAAATAGGCCGTTGTCGGGCCACCCTGTATAACACTTTTACTACCACCACTACCACTACCCCACCATCACCCATATGCATTTATTATTACTACTACTACTACTACTACTAGCATCATCATCTTCTCTTCATTTCTCTTCTATGGTGTAAAACTCGTCGGACCTACACCCCTGACGAGTTCCATTAAAGTTGAAACTGCAGTTACTCGAGTGTCTCTGCTTAAATTTACCAACCTTACAGCCTAACCAAAGTAACATCCAAAACGCACAGAACATTTTCTACTGGATAGAGGAAAAGATTGATACAGAAAGAGAGATAGAGAGAAAGAGAGAGAAGGGAATATTAAATAAGGTGATGAATATGAATGAGCAAATGATTTTGAATTTTCATACGTGTGTGTTAATCCTAAGAAAAATATACAGTTTTCAAACTTTTATCTACAATTTTCTAAAGATTTTTAAAGAAAGAGAGAGAGAGAAATTTTCCTATTGAAACAATTTTTATCTACGATTTTCTGAAGATTTTTAAACAAAGAAATTATTGTGATTTAAAAGTTTAAACTTTTTATTTTCTTTTGACAATAATAATTGATATTAAATTGTTATTAGGATGAATATCAACACTTATGTTAGTATAAGTGGATATTTATGAATCATGATTTGGTAACGTGTTATATGGTTTCGTACAATAGATCGATGAGTTTGATGAGAGAGAGAGAGAGAGAGAGTTTCTGATTGAAACAATAATAACAAACAATCGATTGTAGTTTTGATAATGACAATGATAAGCATGGGAATTCGATGATAATCCATTAGAATCCATTTAATGATCATCGAATTTTCAAATACCGAAAACAATTATCCGAGACGCGTGCCGAAACATTTGTATACATTATATTTATAGTTTGGTAAATCAATTACAAAAAGAAAATTAATTATTAATTAAATCATTGTTTTTTTAACTTTTAAAAATTATAAATAGAATTTTCGATTATTATGGTTTTTTCTTTGTTTATCATATAAACGTTTTATGTTTGAGCTTTGATAAAGAAAATAATATTTATAAATTATATTCATTATATATTTAATATATTAATATAATTATATCTGTATTTATCCCAAATATTATTATTGTTATTATATATTGTAATAAATTAAATAATATTTATTATAATAATATATTAATATAATTATATCTATGTATATGTATCCCTAATATTATTATTATTATTATTATTATTATTATTTTATTATATTTTAATAAATTATATTAATATTTATATTTATTATTATTTATAATATTATTTATTTTATTTATTGTATTATATTATTATTTTTTATTATACATATATATATATTATTTTTATATTATTTAATATTTATTATAATAAATATAAGAAAAATAAAATATAACAAATCATTCCATTTATCAACAATAAAAAAATATATGAAATCGCATTTTATTAAAATATAAAATATATTAATTGGTGAATTACGATTTGTAAAGAAAATAAAAAAAAATTTGTCGACCAAAATTCTAAAATAATTTCTTTTTTTTTTCTCGGTAGGATCAAACGCTTACGCGCGAACTTCTACATCTAAGGAAGTATATGAGAACTAGAAGAAGAAGAAGAAAAAGAAGAAAAAAAAAAGAAAAAGAAAAGAAAAGAAAGGAAAAAAAAAAGAATTTCGTTGAGAACTTAATCCTACAAACTCGAAATCCCAATCGAAACCCACAGAAAAGTTCTACGACAATTAGATCAGTAAAGTTAAAGAGTTGTATTGGGTGGTCTGCCTTAGGAAGAAGATAGATTATCTGTTTCTTTTTTTTTTTTTTTCAGAAGCTTTCGCGATAGAAAAGAATTGAAATTTGTAGCCTTGAACGAAGAGTCTATCCCTGGTTACAAGCTCGCGGCACGAGGCACCATTTCTTTATATAATTAAATATTATTATAAGTATTATATAATATTATATAATATTTAATAAATATTATAATTATATAATATAATTAATAAATATTAATGATTAATAAATTAAATTATATATTATATAAATTTATATAAAAAAAAATAAAATATTTATATTATAAAAATCCAATAAATATTAATTAAATAATTATCTATTTAAAAAAAAAGAAAAAACAAATATTTCAAAATTAAAGTTATTTTATGCAGAAAGAATTTTTTCGTGCGAACTGTAAAAAAAATCGCCAGCCACACTGTAAAACTTTAAAGGCAAAGTGCCCGAGCAATATGTGTTAAATATTATTAATTCATTATTTTTTTTTTTTAAACGTGCTTTTTAGTATAACAAAAAAGAAAAAAAAATACGAGTCTATAAGATTAACATTTTTTTTTCCTAGATTTGTTACTAAAAGAATGTTCGGAATGAAAAGACAGAAAAAAGAAAAAGAAGAAAAAGAAAAAGACAAAGTAGTAGTACTATAGTTTAAAAAAGACCACATTTTTTCATTAGTTGTTCGAAAGAATATATATATATATATATATACTATAGAAAAGAAAAGTTACCAGATAACTATGAGACATGCTATGTACTACAAGACTGTAATACGATGAGACCGGCAGCTTGCTCGTAAAGCCAAGTTTCTCATGTTAGTTTACTTCGACACTTCTTCCCCTGCGTATAAGTTTCTTCTGCGTATAAGAGCCTTATGAAATTAGCTACGTGAAAAAAAAAAAAGAAAATAAAAAAAGAACAAAAATCTCTTACCTTAAGCCGTGTTGCTGGCGAGGTCGTTTGAAAGAGTCGTGAGAGACGGTTACCTGAAAATCAAAAAACAAAATGACAAAGATTAGTACATTTGTCAGTCTCGTATTAACATGATCAATTTTTTATTAATCGAAATTATTTGAAGATTAAAAAAGAAAGAAAGAAAGGGAAATAATAATTGATTACTTTTGCAAATTATACTGAATTCTTTTTTATTTATTTTTTACCGATAGCATATCAATCATAAAATTGTAAATAATAAAATTTTTTAAATAATTTAAATCAATAAAAAAATTAATAATATTATTTAACAAATAATAAAATTTTAATTATGAAATCATTTAGAATAATTTCAAACTACTTTTGCAAATTATTTAGAATTTTTTGTTACGTTTTTTTTACCGATAACATATCAATCATGATTACTGTATAGAACACCAACGAAAAATAATAATAAATAACAATAATAATAAATAATTAAAAATAATATTTTAATTATAAACACATTTAGAATAATTCCAAATTACTATTGCAAATTATATTAATCCTTTGTTATTTTTTTTTACCAATATTATATCAATCGTAGTATCTATTTAACAACCACGAATAATAATAATAATAAACAATAATATTTTAATTATAATATAACATATACAATTACAAATTACATTTTAATATCATTTGCCAATTAATTAAATTTATTATATGATAATAAATTTATCAATGACCTTACAAATAAAGAAGATAAAAAATAATTTAAAAAATTTCTATGATAACCTGTCCATGAAACCATAAATGAAGGTAAAGAAAAAAAAATAGGTGATAATATGACCAAAATGAAGGTAATAAGGGAAGTCACGAATTGATAACGCACAAGAATGCGTTTTCACATTTCATCCTTAATAAAGCGGTATACCTTGAGGGATATATTACGTAGGAAGGATAATGGTTGGTGAAATTGTGATCGTAACGCTGCGGGAACATCATTATGGGACGCAATACAACGTTCTATGAACATAAATCAAGATATCGTTCGATGCCATAGAAGACAACTCTTTCTCATTTTTTATTGTTCGTTTCAAAAAAATTAAACTTAGTTTTTTTTTTATTTTAAAAAGAAATGACTTTTCGGAAATACCCTACAAACTTTTCTGAAATTCCCTACGAACGTATATATATATATATACTTTTATATGTATATAAATGTATTAATGCAATGGATAAATGTAAATGAAAATAAGTGTATTTATATACATATATAGAAATGTATTAATGTAATGTATAAATGTAAATGAAAAGAAGAGTATTTATATATACAATAGATATATACATTCTATATAATATATAATAGAAATATTTATATATTTTATATATTTTATAAATTTATATAAGCTTCTTAAATTCAGATGACGAGTCTTAGTCTTCAAATGTACCCAAAGGGTTAATAAAACTTGTTTCATTTAATTGTTCAAAAATATTGCTTGCCTCTGGTAACATTTGACTGCGTAGATGTGCGACCATTAAAGTGTTAATCGTAAAATACTTGATCTTTTGATATAAAAACAAACGAAGATACAGAATAAAAAATAAAAAAAATCATCGTGTCCATTCGGTCGAATGTAATTTCGATCAGTTGGTACGGATCAACACGTCATTCTCACGAATCACGATGGTGATTCAATCCAGTGAAAAACGTATGCGCAAGAGTAATCGATAAATTTCAAGGCAGAGATAATATTCAGAAAACTGGAGCGTGTTTGTGATCGCCCATCGGCCCCCATCCCATCCCATCCTCTCCCCACCCCTCCTCTCCCACCCCCTTCCTTCTGTGTCTTCTACTTTCCGCATGCAACACACTCGGTTATATACGAAGCCCGTATTTGAAAGCTCCCGTTTGAATCGAGACATTTGTAAAGAATGCAAGAGAGAATGAGAGAGTGAGAGAGAGAGAAAGAGAGAGAGAGTTTTGCTTCGTACGAAACTTTCCGTACTTTTTTGCATGAGATGTAAAGCTAAATGAAAAATATTGATTTTCCTTGGGGAAGAGAAATTTGCGTTTTTCGGTATCTTTTCGAATCCTCTGAGAATGACTGCGTTTTCCCAAAAACGACAGCATATCGTTTTACATTCAACTCCGGCCACTTTGAAATATCTTCTTCGGTTTCCAAGAAGTAGGAGGAGAGGGTTTCTCTTTTTTTGTTTTTTCTTCCACCTTTCTACTTTTCAGATTTTAAGAATCGCACAATATTTATGAATAGTTTTCTTTGCTAGAATTGTCAGTGAAGAAATATATATATATATATGGTATATAATTATTTTATATATAATTATAATTTTATATTATTTTTTATATTAATTTTTTATATTATTATATGTTAATAATAAATATTAATTTAATAAATATTATAATATTATTTTATATATTTTATCTTTTCAATGTCTATCTTTTTTAAAAGTTTTCACTTTTTTTTCGACCTATTATGAAAATTTATTTTTCTGATCTTTTTTTTTTAATATTTAACAACAATAATAATAAAAAAAACCAGAGATTATTATTATCGCGATTATTTATTCTCAAAATGTATCCTTTATGTCTGATTAAAATATACCATTACTACTACTACTACTATGTTACTACTGACAAGATGGCTTAAGAATTAAATGCATATGTCTGACTAAAAGCAGTACATTACTACTGTGATATAGAACTTGCAGCATAAACGCATTCGTCTGACTAAAAACGTAGCATTATTACTTTGATAATTAAATCTTATTTATGTATATGTCTGATCAAAAACGTAGTATTACTACTACCATGATCGTTTAAATCTTATATACGTATATGTCTGAGTAAAAACGTAGCATTACTACTGTGATCATTTAATCATATACTTGTATTTGTCTAATTAAAAATATACTAACACAACTTTAGATATTGAATCATATACATTTACATATACATATATAAATACTCTTATTTTCATTTACATTTATACATTACATTAATACATTTATATATATGTATATAAATACACTTATTTTCATTTACATTTATCCATTGCATTAATATATATATATATATATATATATATATATATAATATTCTTATAACAATAATTGTTAATTACAATCATCGTCATTCCAATGATTGTTATAATTGTAATTAATATTATTACTATTATTATTATTATTATTATTATTATTATTATTATTATTATTATTATTATTATTGCCATTGTATTATTGTAATTATTAATATAATTTAAATAGCCCCGAAGGGCATTTAAATTACAACCCACATCCTTTCCTTCTCTATCTCTTTTAAAATTTCTCTTTTATCATAATTTTTTTTTTAATAAGATATATTATTTCCTATTAACAAACTCTAAATATTATAAGCAGAATAAATTGTTACACACTGCAGAGAGAGAGAGAGAGAGAGAGAGAGAAGTTATATAAGTTTTATTTAATATTACAAACAAAATTTTCGTATAAAGCTCGTTAGTCAAAAGTTCTTGTGTTATACGCGTTCACGTAGATATATATTTTCTAGACCTCCTGTAACAACCCCTCCACGAATTTATTATACTAATAAAAATTTCAAACGCGTTACTTCCTTAACTTGGAATATAAAAAAAAAAAAAAATAGAAAGAGATTTTTCTTCTTTCCTAAATTTTTTCTTTTTTAATTTCCTTTTTTTTTGTCACGAGATAGATACGGAACTGTAAAATTGTCTGACAGGATTGTTTTCAAATTAAATATTTAAAAAATAATATATGAGGACAAAATTCCACGAGGTTACAAAAAATACAACGTTAATGTAAGACGAAATTTATAAAAAAAAAAAAGAGATAAAAAAAAGGTAGAGGAAACTACATAAACTTTAACGAATTTCCTGTGAAAAAAAAAAGAAGAAAAAAAATAAACCTGTAGGAAAAATCGAGGCCGTAAGGTAATAGAGTCTTTTACGAAACAAAGTGCAGCATCTACTTTGAACGTCAATTTTACGTAAAAGAAAACAGCTTAAAAGTGATGGCTCTCGTTAGTGTTAAAGGATAAACAAAGCCAAGAGAGAGCTTTAGCATTAGAATAAATTTGCACATCTCGCAAATTCGACTTTTTTAAAACCGATTTTATTTTATTTTAACTTTTTTTCTCTTTTTTTTTTCTTCTACCTTTGGCTCAACGAGGCTAACCTCCCCCCTTCCCTCGTAATTCATTCTTTTTCTTATTTTCTGTTTTATTATTTTACTTTCACCTTTTTATTCCCCGCCATTTAAGACGACAACTGATATGGTTGGTAGGTGTGCAAGTGGAGTCGAAAAACGTAAAAAAAAAATAATGGAATGAGAAAGAAAAAGAATACATATGTATGTGTATGTGTATGTGTATATGTGTAAGAGAGAGAAAGGAGACAAACTCGACAGATAAAACCGATATGACCGATTACGAGTAACGAAAGATCGATCATCCCCCAGATAAACGATTTACAGTTGGTACGATTCTACGTATCCATCTACACATACACACACATATATATATATATATATATGCACACAGGAGTAGTCGTTGATGGGAAAACGTTAAAATTGACGGTAGGGGAGAAAAAAAAAAGAAAAGAAAAAAAAGGATCTCATTCGGGGATGATATCCGGTTAAAAAAACCTTCAACATTAATCGAACGAGTGAGTGAACACTGTGATGGATTATTAGACTGTAAAATTAATTCTACCATTTGAAAAGTTTTCTTTTTATTACACACACAGACACATATATCTATATACATAAATGTATAAGTTGTATAGTAGAAAGACAAATTTCACGAGCTTTAACCACTACCACCATGGTTGGACTGCATGAATAATTTAACAGGCAGGCTCGTGCCATCTTCTCGCAATAAAATTGCACAGTCCTCGGTATAATTAACCGAACTCATTAATGTTACACCGAGAAATGCTTTCCGTACGTTTTCTCTCTCTCTCTCTCTCTTTCATTCTTTCTTTCTCCTCATCTTCTTCTTCTTCTTTTTCTTTTTCTTCTTCTTCTCATATTA